ATGTAGTCATGAGGACAGAGACAGTGAACGCACCATGTAGAGACATGTTCAATGCATTACCCAGCCCTTGTATGGGATTATAGTCCCCTGGTGATACAGTTATGTAGATTTGTGTGTCGTCTGCATAATTATAACACACTTTGTTGTTTTCCATAATCTGAGCTAGTGGAAGCATGTAGATGTTGAACAGAAGAGACCCCAGTATTGAACCTTGGGGAACACCGCATGTTATTTTAGTCAGCTCTGATGTGTAATTAGCTACAGACACAAAGTATTCTCGGTCCTTCAAGTAGGATTCAAACCAGTTGAGTGCTGTGCCAGAGTCCCACCCAGATTTTTAGTCTTTCTAGTAGTGTGTCATGGTCGACCGTGTCGAATGCAGCACTGAGATCCAGTAATACTAAGACTGAACTTCTGCCATTGTCTGTGTTTAAGTAGATGTCGTTGAGAACCTGAACAAGAGCAGTTTCAGTGCTGTGGTGCTGTCGAAAGCCTGACTGAAGACATCAAAGCAGTTATTTACGGCCAAGAACGCTTAAGAATTATTTTACTTAACAATGGGAGGTGTGATATTGTTCTGTCATTGTTCATTGTTGCAGAGTCTAAACTAGCCTTCTTTAGGAGCGGTTTAATAACTGCAGGTTTTTAGGGCTTGTGGGAAGACACCTGAGAGAAGGGATGTGTTTACAATGTGTAAGAGATCAGTGGTCGTGCAGTTTGAAATATTTAATAAGAAGTGTTTTGGTAGAATATCCAAGCAGCAGGAGGATGACTTCAGATGTTGTATAATGTCTTCTAGGCTTCTACGGTCGATTGAATGAAATTGTGTCATGATGTTTGAATGGATGTTATTCAGAGATGGGGACAACACACATCCTGTGGTTGGTGTGGAGGCACGCACTGCTTGATTGCATGGCAGGTGGATTGGAGCTCAGCAGCTACTGACACTGGAGGGTTTGTTAGCCTGTCGACGGTAGCAAATAAGGCGCGTCTATTGTTATTGTTTATAATGTTAGACATACACACACACACGAATAACTCAACAGGAGGGTGGAGTCCAGTGTGTTTAAAGGTTCTTTATACTACTAATGAATATAACAATGATCATTAGTGTATTCATGATTATTATATTTATGATTATTATCATTCTTATTATTATTAATAAATATATCATATATCATAGATTTAATTTCCTTACACACAATATATCCGTTATTAATATTTTATTAATGAAATATATTATAATTAATATAAAATAAAAATATTAACAACAAGACGTTTTGTAGAAAGATTAGTGTTGTTTGAGTGTGACTCAGTGTTTCAGTAATTGTTGTATTATTATTATTTATATTATCATGTTTATAATTATTATTATTATTATTATCCACTGTGCTTCATATCACATAAATTACTCTATACCCGGGTCCGGACCGGGTCCGGACTGAGCCGGTCTGTGGTTGTGTCTCCGTCCTGCAAGTGTCGCTGCAGCAGCGGACTCCGTCTCACTGCTGCCGCTTTCATTTTGCGCACAGAAGAAGAAGACGAAGAAGACGAAGAAGCGGAAACAAAGAACAGATTTTCTTCTCAATGAAAAAGAGTGAAATGTAACCTGCGGTCTCGTGAGGACTCCACCGGAGGACCGACTCTTCTTCTGCGTGTGAAGCAGCTGCAGCTTCCGCATGGTGAGTCTTCTTCATGAGCTTCTTCTCAGGCAGATGGAGGAGAACCTGCAGCATCTCTCACGCACACACACACACGCACACACACGCAAATACACACACACACACACACTCACACTCACACTCACACTCACACACTAACTCACACACACACACACACTCACTCGCTCACTCACACACACACGGTGGTCTTTAATGTAGACCTGGTCTGATGTGAGTCCGGGTCTAGTAAGACCAGCGGTCTTACTTAGATGTGTCTCTTGTTTCCCTCAGTCGGAGGCTGCAGGAGCAGAGGGGGGCCCTGAGGAGGAGGGAGGAGGAGGAGAAGAAGAGATGAAGACCACCATGAAGACCCTGAAGACCCCCAAAGGTCCGGTCTACTGTCTCTGCAGGAAACCAGACATCAACTGTTTCATGATGTAAAAAAACCTAAAATTTATAAAAAATATTAAGAATCAATGAACATCAGAACATTTACACTAACCTGTCTGTCTCTCTTCCTGTCTGTCTCTCTACCTGTGTGTCTCTCTAACTGTCCGTCTCTCTAACTGTCCGTCTCCCTCTCTCTGTCTGTCTGTCTGTCTCTCTCTCTCTCTCTCTGTCTGTCCGTCTCTCTAACTGTCCGTCTCCCTCTCTCTGTCTGTCTCTCTCTCTCTCTCTCTGTCTGTCTGTCTCTCTAACTGTCCGTCTCCCTCTCTGTCTGTCTCTCTAACTGTCTGTCTCTCTCTCTCTGTCTGTCTAACTGTCTGTCTCTCTAACTGTCCGTCTCCCTCTGTCTGTCTCTCTCTCTCTGTCTCTCTAACTGTCCGTCTCCCTCTGTCTGTCTCTCTCTCTGTCTACCTGTCTGTCTCTCTTCCTGTCTGTCTGTCAGAGGGTGCGACAGCTGTACTGAGTGGTTTCATGGACACTGTGTTGGAGTTTCAGAGAAAGCAGCAAAATCCATCAGAGTTTGGTTTTGTCCATCGTGCAGAGGTCAGTGAAGTAGACGTCTTAAAGAAGCAGTAACATAGTCTAGTGGTACCTTCAGGGAACCCAACCAGAGTCTGTAGAAACACTGAGGTAGTCTAGTTGAGAACCGTGGTGCCTTCAGGTACCCGAACCAGTTTGTAGAAACACTGATGGAGACATAGTTATGAATATTATAGCTGTTAGCTGTGATTTAGCTGTGTGTTAGCTGTTAGCTGTGCGTTAGCTGTTAGCTGTGTGTTAGCTCTAAGCTGTGTGTTAGCTGTGTGTTTTGCCGCCTGCAGACAAAGACTCGTCTCTGGAGATTAAATACCGTCTGAAGAAGACGAAGGAGGAGAAAGAGTCGGAGACAGAGAGGGAGGACAAACCTGATGGAGACAGGAGCTCCACCCCCCATTTTAAGATTGACAGGAGGCGGGGCTCACAGGTAACCTGGCAACTAGACCGACAGGGGGCGGGGCTCACAGGTGGAGTTCTTCCAGTCTACATGTGATCTGTAGACCCGGAGAAGGCCGAGGACCGTGGCCCTTTAAGAGTGGGGGGGTACTGTGGTAATACGGGGTACCTGGGTCAAAGTGAGAACTGGGTCCAGGTCGGCCCTAGTCACCGATCCTGTTTGTGATCTTCATGGATCTCATGGTCCACCTGGGGGAGGAGAGGGTCCGGTTTGAGGACTTGAGAAATCCGTCTCTTTGCAGACGATGTAGTTCTGTTGCTCGTAGAGTGAACACGGTCTTAGAGACACTGCTTTAGGTCTAAAGGGACCTGGGATCTGGTCTGGATCCTCCTGGACTCCACCTTTTGGAGTTTTTTTTGGGTTCGTCCAGTTGGTAGTAAACCAGAATCTTCTGGTCTTGGGAAGGCCTACCCGGGTCACAGGGACCTCTGGACCACCCTGCTGTCCCTGTGACCCGGCACTGGATGAACCATATATTTATATTATATTATATGTGGTTTCTTTGTGATCCAGATCAAGCGCTCGGCCCGGATGTGTGGGGAGTGTGACGCCTGTCTGAGGACGGAGGACTGCTCTCAGTGTGACTTCTGTAAAGACATGAAGAAGTTCGGAGGACCCAACAAGATCCGACAGAAGTGTCGTCAGCGGCAGTGTGAAGTCCGAGCTCGGGTGAGTCTCAGGTTTATATGTCTATAAATATATCTATATAAATATATAGATATATTTACATATACATAACATTTCAATATATAACACTTTATAACATTATGAAGTCAAAGCTTCATGTGTTAAAGCTGCATTCTCTCTAGTGTCCACCAGGGGGCGACTCCTCTGGTTGTATAGAAGTCTATGAGAGAATGACTCTACTTCTCTCTTGATTTATTACCTCAGTAAACATTGTAAACATGAGTTTATGGTCTCAGTCTCTAGTTTCAAGTCTTCTTCAATACAGCATGATGTTCATTTAGTACATTATGGTCCATTTAGAGTCACACAGACCATAAAGCAGGGGATGCTTTAGGGCGGGGCTACACGGTGATTGACAGGTCTCTACCAGAGACGTATATGGCGTCTCTACATCACTCCTCCTCAGTCCACATATGGTCACTTCCTGTTCACTGGTTGCAAAAAACAAGATGGCGACGGCGAAATCGCTTGAACTTGATATGATTCATGAGATTGTTCAGATATTAAAGATGTTTTATTGATGATGGGTCATTTTTCACTGATGGTGATGTTGGTATTGATTAGTTTTTGATCTCTGAGTAGAAGATGCTTCGTGTCAAAGAGGAGGAGATGAGTCGAAGCGGCGTCAGGGGGCGCGGCCTGTCGAGGAAAGGGGCGGGGTATCAGACAGAGGACGAGGAGGATGAAGAGGAGGAGGATGAAGACGTGGCCTTCAGTGAGAGCGAGCTAGAGCTGTATGAGCAGTACAGAGCCGCCGGATACAGAGACCTGGTCAGTACGCGTTTCTGAACCAATCAGCTGCCAGAACAGGCACTTCCTGTGTGGTGATGTCATGCGTCTTCCTGTCTGCAGGTGTGGCACAGCGAGGAAGAGGACGCTCAGTCGGACTCCTTGAGGAAGAAGGCGGTGAAGGTGAAACACGTCAAGAGACGAGAGAAGAAGTCGGAGAAGAAGGTGAGGACCGATGATGTCACTGATGATGTCACAGATCACCTGCTTGATGACCTCATTCACTAACTCACCTGTCCTCCACTGCAGAAGTCTGTCTCTGCTCCTAAAGAGGAGGTGAAGCCTCGCCGTCACAAAGCCAAGCAGCGCCACAGGGAGCGGGTGCGTCACAGCGAGCGGGGGGGAGGAGAGGGCGGGGCTAAGGAGGTGGGCGGGGCTGTGCGTCAGTGTCTGGGACCAGGATGTGTCCAACTGGCAAGGACCAGCTCCAAGTACTGTTCAGAGGACTGTGGCATGAAACTCGCAACCAAGTGAGTCACAACGACACAAACAAGTCAACAACAACGACACAAACGGGTCAACAACAACGACACAAACGGGTCATCAACAACGACACAAACGGGTCAACAACAACGACACAAACGGGTCAACAAC